TGGTAGCCTTGTGAATTGGAAGGAAGAGTAAATGGTAACTCATATGAACTAACTAAGGAAAGAAAAGAAACACAAATATATTGTGTATGTGTAAAACTAAGAGAAAGAGGCAAGACATAATACATCTGAGTGAGTATAGTCTGCTTAATAAATTGATAAATAGATGTATATAAGTGGAGATATAGAATTTTAATGAAAGGAAAAACATTAGATGGAAAGCCATAAATGTTGTAAGAATGTTTTAAAAATAGCAAGGCTGACATGACACTATCAGCAGAAAAGATTATTTGGTTTGGCCTTACAATTAGTCATAGACTTGTGTAATAAGTAGTATATCCCTTGCATCAAAACAACAACAACAATAATAAGTCTCTGAGTCCCATCAAGAATATCAAAAAGCCTCAGAAATGTCATGCTTCCTAAATTATCTTTGGTTTATTTCTGAATACCTTCTTTCTGATGCAGTGAATTTTCTCTAAGTATGTACCTGCATGTAGCATTTGGAACACTCTAACTGGTTTACACACCTTCTCGTAGATACAGTATATGCCTATGGAGTTGGGCTATACTTGAATACCTGCTAAGGCAAAGGGGTAACTATGTGCCACCTCACCTCCATTCCTCTTATCTCTTTTTGCACAGCTTTCTCCACCACTTGCCAAAAGCAGAAGAATTTTGCATTTACATTGTACATACAGAAAGTCTTCATTTAGGATCACAATTGGGACCCACATTAAACACAGTGATTCCTAAGTGGAACTATGGTTAAGATCTTACTTCAGTTTTTTTTTTTTTTTTTGCTTTAGACCAGCGGTTCCCAACCTTTCCTATACCTGCACCCCTAGAACGCTTCTAATATATTCTTACACGCCTTACAAAAGTTTGAAATAATGGCAATAAATTATGCATATACAGTATAATTTTAAAAACCCAAGTTTTTGCATCCCCTGGAATATCATCTGACACCCCCGGGTGTGTGAGCCCCCCCCACCCCCCCCGGCTGGGAACCCTTCTTTAGACCCATGGAGGTTGTAAATGCAGGAATTAGTCATAAAGTTACTTCTTCATCATTATCATAACTGCCAATGGTTATTAAATAAGGGAGTCACTAAATGAGGATTACCTGTTTTCAGAAGCCTCTCCTAGATATCAGAGGAGGCTTTTACAAGAACAATAAGCAGATTGCAGGAGCAGGGAAGCAAAACAATTGTTTGCTGTTGTGAAACATCTTCAAAGGGGTCCCTTTCATGAACACTCAATGACACAAAACATCCTCATAAGGATTTCCATAGCACTAATACCGTAATAGGGATCACTGCCCCAGGGCTCTGTTCTGGGCCCAGTGCTCTTCAACTTCTTCATCAATGATTTGGATGAGGGGATAGATGGGGAAATCATCAGATTTGCAGATGACACCAAGCTGGCAGAAATAGCCAACACTCCAGAAGACAGGCCTAGGATACAGGAGGATCTGGACAGACTTGAACACTGGGCATATCTAGAGCCGAGGTGGCGCAGCAGTTAGAGTGCAGTACTGCAGGCCACTTTAGCTGACTGTGTTCAGCAGGTCAGAGGTTCAAATCTCACCGGCTCAAGGTTGACTCAGCCTTCCATCCTTCCGAGGTAGGTAAAATGAGGACCCAGATTGTTGGGGGCAATGTAAATAAATATATATACATTGCTTACTGGTGTACACCGCTTAGAGAGTGCTTGCACTTAAAGCGGTATATAAGTCTCATAAATAAATAAATAAATAAATAAATCTAACAAAATGAAATTCAATGGTGAAAAAAGTAAGGTTCTACATTTAGGCAAAAAAACCCAAATGTACAGGTATAGTATAGGGGGTACCTTACTAAATAGTAGTAACTGTGAGAGGGACCTCAGAGTCCTAGTGGACAATCACTTAAATATGAGCCAGCAGTGTGCTGCAGCTGCCAAAAAGGCCAACACAGTGCTGGGCTGCATTAACAGAGGGATAGAATCAAGATCACGTGAAGCATTAATACCACTTTACAATGCCTTGATAAGGCCACACTTGGAATACTGCATCCAGTTTTGGTCACCATGATGTAAAAAAGATGTTGAGACTCTAGAAAGAGTACAAAGAAGAGCAACAAAGATGATTAAGGGACTGGAAGCTAAAACATATAAGGAATAGTTGCTGGAATTGGGTATGTCTAGTTTAATGAAGAGAAGGACGAGGGGGGACATGATAGCAGTGTTCTAATATCTCAGGGGCTGCCACAAAGAAGAGGGAGTCAAGCTATTTTCCAAGGCGCCTGAAGGCAGAACAAGAAGCAATGGATGGAAACTAATCAAGGAGAGAAGCAGCCTAGAACTAAGGAGAAACTTCCTGACAGTTAGAACAATTAACCAGTGGAACAACCTGCCTCCAGAAGTGATGAATGCTCCAACACTGGAGGTTTTTAAGAAGGGACCTGACAGCCATTTGTCTGAAATGGTATAGGGTTTCCTGCCTGAGCAGGGGGTTGGACTAGATGACCTCCAAGATCCCTTCCAACATTATTATTATTATTATTATTATTACTACTACTACTACTACTACTACTACTACTACTACTACTATTACTACTACTAATTAATACCTTTCACAGATCACAGCATTTGCTCATATTATAACTAAAAAACCTATCACAAAGTGGTCACTGATTAAATCTAAAAGCAAACAAGGATCTTAAATAGCCTCAGGACTAAACACGCAGAAAAAAAGTAAAAAATTGAAAATGAATGTAACATTTAGAAAACCACAATACCTAGTACTTCCATGGTGGAGGGGAATGTCTTCACCCAATCCTTAGGATTTTATCAAGCAACAATTCAAATTGTAGAGAATAAGAAGGATAGCCTTGATGGAGATATGCAAGAGTTGTTATTAGGGGAAAGGGGCTGAAACAATTAGTCCAAAATAGCAAGATAACATCTGTAAGCATCTTGGGAACACTTCCTGATTCACAAGAGTATAAGAAGGGGGAGAACATGCAGTATAATCAGAGATTTTGTATTATAGCCAGTTTCACAAGTACCTTTACCTTTCCTCTGGAGGTGATTTTCTGGTGTGTCTACCTAGTGGGATTGACACCAACCTAGAGTTAACAATATAACTCACTTAAAAAATCCAGCACAGCATCTCTCTTCTCTTTGCCCCAGGTATATTGATGCAAAAGTACAGAAGAAAGAAAGAAAGATAAACAAGCAGCTAGGAGATTGGAGCTAATAATGAGAGCAAACGCAGGATGAAAACCCCCCCTCCTCCTCCCACTGAACATGAGGATACCATGTCTTGGCAATGGCAGATCACCAGATACCCTCCAGATGTTGATAAACTTCAGATCCTCTAATCCTTCACCCTTGGCCATGATGTCTTGTGCTGATGGGCACTAGCTAGAGTCCAACAATTACTTGTGAAATACCCCTCCCCCCAAAAAATATGTGGGAGTTAAACTTAAATGCTGCCATAGAAAACAGGAGAAATAGCATCCTCTTTGAAACCGATTACATGTAAAGCTGCCTCCGTGTTCCCTCCATTGCTGTTTTTTCTAAAGATGCCAAATCAATTCTGTAGTCTATTAAAAGGCATTGCTTATCTTTCTCCTCCGCTGTGCTGTTCTACAGAATGCCAGTGTTCTCAAATAAAATAAATGAACTGTCAAAATATTGAACTGAGATTTAGGAATTTACTAGCATAGGAAGATTAAGACAATTATAGCTTAAATTGGTACCATTTTGGGCTAATTGGTTGCAGATATAGAGCAATGCCTGAATGTGTTGATTTGAGAAAGAAGCATGATTGTATTTAACTGTTATGGAGAAGAAAGACCCAGGAAGATAATTAAATTAAAGGTGTAAATCTGCATACCGATGCTAGAACATCAGGTCCACCTGATGATCTTTTCTTTTCTGATCTAAACTGGTATTAAAAGGAATATTATAAAATATAATCATACATGCATGTGGTATAATTATTTAAAATCCAGTTTTATTGGCATGGAATTAGAAAGGGAAGAAAAATTCCTTGGTTTTCACTGGAATGAAAACTTCCTTAATGTTGTTTTTACAAAGAAACACTCTCTCAACCTCATTATACTTTGAAATTTGCATTTCTTTCCATTTTGAACTCAGTTCTCCAATGAAAGCAGCATGTGAATTATGGAAATTGGAGATTTTCTTTGTAACAATAGTGCACTAAAACACATTGTGTTAGGTAACGCTGCTTCCAGAAGTGAGCCTATTAATTGAAACTGTCTACAAAATGTACATTGTAGGAGTATTGTACAGAAAATCATAGAACTCTTTAGACCCAGCCTTTTTGAACAATTTTCTCAGATTGATGTTAAACAGAATAAAATTGAGAAAATAAGAAAAATGAAAGAAAAGGAAGTTGATAGATCCATCCATCCATCCATCAATCCTTTCTAACTAGTTGAGGGCAAACAACATGGAAACAGCTAGCTATTATCACCAGACATACCTTTTCCAAAATGTGTGTAGTCTTTTTAATTTAGAGGAAGGAAAGAATTTGGGCAGTGGAAGTGGAAGATGGGTGTTGGTAGTAGTAGGATTGTTAATCTTTTCCCTCTGTAACATTTCCCCAGATTTACACAGTCTGAACATATTTTAGTTCCAGTGGAAGACATATCAGAAGAGGCAGTTTCATCCTTTGCTACAGGCTCAGGGTATGACATTTTATCTCAGCATAATGGCAAGCCTGATTGTAGTTCATTTGTTTATTTTCTATTTACAAAGTTGTCTTCAAAGAGCAGCCAATATACAATTGCTCTAGGCCTTAATTATGGGAGTAAGGAGTGGCTATCCAAAATGTATTTTGGGGACTGAAAATGATCAAGTAGATGTTTGTGCTCCATCTTTCTATTCAGGTCAAATGCAAGATGGCTTACAACTAAATATACAAGTTGATGCAGTTAAAATCAATGCCAATATTGAAATTAATAACTAACAAAATTAAGAACTTGTCTTACCTTCTTCTGAAATATTGTGAGTGACCCAGAGGGGCATTCTGTAGATTGAATGTTATACCAGAGAAGAACTTTTCTCAAGTATTGGAGAGTAGAGCTTTTAGCAATAGGGTATCTTCAGAGATGGCTGTCTTGATGATTTGAGTATCCAGACAGGTTTATAGTAGTGAGGAACTGCTTTGTCATCCTATGATAGCTGTAGGCTATCTTGTTCAGGAGCTGAAATGGATAAAATCCATATGAGTTGAGGGTAATTTAAAAAAGAGGACAATACATAAGAAAAATATTACTGGGCTTGTTGTCTGTGGGTTGGAAACTGATGCTGACCTTTTCCTAAAAAAAATATAGAGTGGCTGTTTTAATTACATACATACCAATGTCTAACTATCCATTAATGGTTACAATGAATGAATCTTAGGTTTAAATATTAGCATGTGGACCTTGACCTACCTGAGTTTGGCTATCTGAACTTGTTTGCCATCAAATAAAATGCAGTCCTGGAGCATGCTAAAATCTAGAAGTTATATGTGGCCCCAGATTTCCAAAGAAACCATACCAGCCATACAATTACCATTAGCTAAAATGTATATAGGGAAACACATACAAACTTTAGCCTTATTGTCAGCTGTTTATGCTGCTTAAACAGACATGCACATATACGCACAGGCACACACAGTGCATACAAGATGACAGAAATTATAAATGTTTTACCCAAGTGAAACAGCATTGTTTTCCATTTAAGGAACCAATTGGATATAAATAACTTCTTGCTAAAAACCTTTGATTGAAAGGAGAATCCTTCAGAGCTGGGAAAATTAATGTTGCTTTCAACAAAAGAGCAAATAGAAAGTCACCATCAAAGGCAGACAAATCTTAAGATTTAGTCACAAACTCTAATGCATACAGTAATTAGTACCAAAGTCGATAGGCTGTGGTAGCATATGAAACAGATCTGAGCTTGAATCAAACACTACACTTGAATGCCCTGTGTGTCTGTTTTAAATCAGAACTAGGCTGCTTGAATCCATCTTTATTCTCAAAACTGCAAGGGGTTTCTTCTAATTGTTGTGGCTCCTGCACATGTGTGATTTAACACATATGTGCAAAAATATAGTTCAGGTGGCTTCATTTTGCTTCAAAATACTTTGCAAATAATCTTGTCCCGTAAGCTGCTAAAAATCAGGTTAGAGTTCACTATTTTCAATTAGTCTGTAAGATATTTCTGTTTGGAAATTCTCTTGTTCACAATGCTGGTATCTGAAGCTAGTCTTACTAATCTTTGTAAAGTATTATGAGCGATGCATATGTACAGAGGGGTAAAAACCTGCATTTTTATAGAGGTCTTTCAACAGCTAAGATCACTAGGATATGTCTTCATTCATAAATTCAGCTTTCATGTCTGTCCATGATTCTGAGTGACTAAATTTATGTGCCAGACAATAGAATCAGTGGGTTCTTCTGGACTTCATCTGTGGAAACAGTAGTAGGATTTTTCAATCAGTCTTTTTGAAAGATCAACTCCATCTGGCTTCTTTTTTTCTCTGAAGTGTATCTAATAAATATTTAAGTCAAAACTACACAGGACTCTTGGGAGATCATCTTGATAATCACTTTGATTTTATTGCAAAAAAATTGTTTTATTTTATTTTTAAGAAATTTATATGACTGCCCAAAGCTTATAATTTATGACTTTGAGCAACATGCATCAATGAAAAATTTCAATCAAAATTAAACCAAAAACATAATTAACAAACTACAATAGTACTTACACAAAACCATAAGTATAATTCAAGGTGGGGGTAACATTTGGTCATCCATAATTGGTTACAACCAGATACTTCGATCAAAACTTCAGATTGGATCCATTCTTATTGTATGTGAAATTATATATGTGAAAGGTATATTCACATGTATATTTCAAACCATTCATTTTTCATAATGTTTCCTGTGCCATTTCTATAGTTGCCCATCTCCTTTGGAACCACTCCTTTCAAAGTCATATAATTATCTGAAAAATTTCTCAGGATTAATTATATGGTGGGTGGCTGCTAAGAGTATTTTCTTTGAAATATTAGCGGCTAGGAAATTGTTTCTTACAAGATGAGGGCAGCATTTTATTTTTTAAAAAATAATTTATATTATGTTTGTGTGCTGATTAGACCCTTTTTTAGAAATGATTAATCACATACATCATTAATTAAGTTGTAAAGGTCTGGGGGGGAACCTTGGAAGATGGGGGTGAAGAGATGCTGTTTAGGGAACAGTCAGATAAGAGACAGCATAGCCCACATGTGGATGGTGGGCAGGACAAGAGGTTCATAAAAGACTCTCCCTAATTTCTCCAGCTTTAAAATACAATTAGCTTATCTGGTTGTTTCCTTTCTGTTCTACCCAGTAAGGCTGATATCAATCTTGCCAGTTTAAAAATACATTTTTCCCACTGACTCTAGACAGAAGCCCTTTCTCATGTCTCCCAAGGTTTTCCCCACATACTATTACATTAATTAAATAAATGCATCATTATAGCTGTTTTGATTTATACTTTTTTTTTTCTCCTCTGGAGGCCACTCAAGACTGAGAAAACGTAAAACAAAACATACGTGTAAAACAAAACATGCCCTTAAAAATGCAAGACAGAAACAATGATCAAATCAAATTCAAAAGTATGACAGTACAAAAATGTTATAACCCTGGCTACAGATTTTTCCATATTATACCACAGGGAAAGGGGGGCTGGTTGAAGTCTTCTTCACACTGAGGGTGGAGAAGGCTGACAAAGACCACTGTATGAAATTCTGATCAGATGATCCTCTGTTAGAAAGAGTAGCTTGAACATATTTGCAGGTACAATTTTTAGGCCTTCACAATGTCAGTTATGGATAAATGGTAAGAAAATATATTGGGGCTTTGAATGAGGTCTGTGGGTTAACGTGCAACAAATCACAGGACCCTCAAAACTGAGGAGATATTTAAGATACTCCCTTAGAAACTGAAATAAAATAGTCATTATTTGAAATAGAACTACGAGGTGTACAAAATCTGGATCTCCTTTTTGGAGGGTTTCATGTTCCAAAGTATTGAGATTAACTATAATGGTTCCTTTAAAAAACACACCAGATCTGAAACATGTTCAGAATAGCTGCACGAGGCTGAGTCGACGTCTGCTGTTAGTTGATTAGAGACATCTTGAAAGAATTGCTGGAGCAGCCTTTCTCGCAAGTCTGGAGTTAGCCTTCTGTCATTTGGGTGCTCTTTCACAATTGAGTTCATGCATGCAAGAAAACAGTTGATTGGAAGCTTCAAGGACCTGCATGTAATCAAAAGCTTTGAACTCTTTGTAGTTTGTGAAGTTCCCTTACCCCTAGCTACAGGGTCTATCAGAATATATTACAATGACCTAAACCAGCATCTCCAGCAACAGCTGTGAGTTTAATCCATACATTAGTTCATTAATTCACAGCAAAATATTTTCAGCTTGCCTTTTATACCACAGAGAGGAGTGTTTTGGATATTTGGCAAAATATATAGCTACACTGAAAAGTTACCAACACTTAAACTTTTAACAAGTTGTGTAGGTACTGTTCTGGCCTATTAGGATTTCTGGTGAGCGCTCTATTTTTTCCAGTGCTTTTAAGCTAGGTGTCCTTCTGTAAATATATCGATATATTTGTATTAATTCAGAACTCGATGTGTATGAAGGCCAGCACCAACTAAAGGATTGGCAGCTAGGGCTTCGCGTTATTGTGAACAGATAATAACAATGCATTTCCTCACTTTTAATCATCTTAGTGCTACACTTTCAATGAACTAATCATTATGATCATTGAAGTGGCAGATGATTGAGCTCTTGTGTGACTCATCTTCACCATGCCTTTATGGTTAGTGCTATTTTTGGTAAGGTTGCACGAAAAACTGTGAATTTAATTTGAACAAAACCATGATTTGACTGTGTGTGTGCAATTTTTAAAATTGATTAGTCTTTTCAGTATGCTAATGCTTCCTTAACATAATAGTTATTATCTTGCATCCAATGGTAAGAAGAATGTAATGTCCCACTGCTGTGGCTCATGAAGCTGCTTAAAGCACAAGAGATCTAGATGGATTAAAGCCTCAGATATTATTATGGGTATGGCAACTAGGTGGAGCCATTCTTCTAGGTTAGGGGTGTCAAACTCGCAATGTCACATGATCTGTCACGACATATCACAACTTTTTTTCCATTGACGGCCATGTGATGGGCGTGGTTTCGGCATGATGTGGTAAAGGAAATCATATAAAAGAAGCCAATTGGTCCCGACTATAGCATGAATAGTTATGGATATACCCTGGAAACCCATGTAAAGCCAGAAGTTTGAGGCTACAGTGACTCCCTATGGCTTTCTGGGTGCAATTTGTGGTGCAAATGATGACATATGAAAGTCTTCATGGCACACTGATGCAGGACTACCGGTCTTTGCAGGACTACTGGTCTTTGACAGTCTCTGCTTGTCTTACAAAATTCTTTAGAGTGCCATGTTTCAGGTCCCTTCCATGAAACAATATCATCCAGTGGGACCCAGAAAGCACATCTTCTCTGCTGGAGTGAGTGCCCTTGGAAATTGCCTCTCCCCCCCCCCTCAGGTTCAGATGACTCAATTCTACTGGCCATCTGGAAGGCATTGAAACCCTGGTTTTCCACCCAGGCACTGGGTCAGAGCATTGGATGGGCCTGTCCTGAAATGACTTGGAATTGGAATGTTGTGGTTTGGCCTTGGTTACCCTGTTTGGATGTTTTGTTTGGTCTCTCTTGTTTTATATGTGTAACTGCTGTACATGTAAGCCACTCAGATTCACTATTTGTACATTGAGTGGCCATATAAATATCCTAAAACTCCTCTAGGCTGTTTTTCAGTACTTATTCACCTATTGGCAGCTGTTTCTGAGTGGAAGAGCAATTGCTTTAGATTACCTATAGCCCAATTAGACATAGGTAGGGCTTTTTTTAAATCATAGAACGTCCAGAACGGAGTTCTGGCATCTTTTTTGGATGGAACCTTGTAGGGTAGGCAAGGTGGGTTATATAACGTGTGTGAGTTCTGGCACCTTTTTTTTTAACAAAAAAAGCACTGGACATAGGTATGTATGTTTCAAGGAAGAAATTAAGTTTTTTCCCCCTTGTCATGGCAGAGTAGCTATGCCTTGCCTTGCATGAACTCTCTCAATACAAATGTCTTCTTCTGTACAAATAGAATATGCATTTTCTTAAGATTTTTTTTCCACAAGAAGGGTCTAATGAAGAATTCAAATTTTCTTGGTCCAAATTTTATTCAGGTAGGAGACC